ACAGTTCCTTAGTTATTTGTTTTTCCATGTGGGTATGCAAAATAGGTGAGAATTTCAGACGAATGAAGTGGACATTGAGAGGTTTGTATCCATTACATTATGAACAAAATTCAACTACTTTTTTAGAAATTAGACTCTTGCAGCTTTTCAAAACACACCTCAGAGCAAATTTCAAAATAAAAGCCTCCCATTCCCGCTGTAATAAAGCATCTATTGACCTAATAACAGGGGAAAAGACTGATTTAGCAATTGCAAATTCATTAAGTATCATTGCTGCGTCTGACCCATTCTTTAACACACAACCCTGATAGACTTTTAAAGTAAGACTCCAGGCACTCTACAAAATAAAAGCCTCTAAATTATGTACATATTTGCAGAATATGGCTCAACATTATGACCCAAACTCCACCATTTTATTTATATTAGACTCTGGCGGCCTTTTCAAAACACACCCCACTGCATATTTCAAAATATAAAGACTTTAAAAAATAAGACACTAAAAAGTCTAAAAAGTTACAAAGGTCACTGTGCTAATCGGGACCTTCGAAGCAGCAGCAATCTTCTTTATCCTTCTCCAGATTTGTGCAACAAGAAAATCCTGTTTCAAAGGTCTACAGACAATTCTTTTCTTTTCAGGCCCTGACGTTCAACTAATAAACGTTTGCTTGTTTCCATTCTTGTCAGCGTCTTTCTTGTATCGTTGTGCAGAATATCATAACAGAGTTGAAATATGCGTTTGCATTTTAATGCTTTGCTTTAACCAACTCGTCATGAATCAGTTCAGTAAAAATAGACAATTAGACCAAAGGAAATATTTCATAAAAAGTTCTTTACATAGAGTTCTTCACTTTTTCTACTCTTAACTCAAAGCCTGGATCATATTACATGATCAAACTATGCAAATAAAGTGATAACATCATTCAAAACAGCCGAAAGCCTTTATCTCACGAAGAAGATGGGAGCAGTGCCCACAGGAAACATTGTAAACGCAGCAGCGACTATAAGGGGGTTAATAACTGAAATGTGAAACAGTCAAAACCTGTTGTTTATTTTGCATCATGTTGTCCTCTTTGTTTTTTTCTGCATGTCATCTTAATCAGTAAAAGGGCTCCAATGGAGGAAAATCCAGCTACACTGTCAGTTGTGTGTTTTAGTGAGAAATTCATCACTTTCTGACAGTTTGGAAAGAAAAAACAGCTAAATAAACAGAGCACCCTCTAATTAAACAGCACGCTCCAGCACTTAAACCTATTAACGCTGGAGGGGATGTTTGTGTGAACATTCTCTGTCTTTGTACCAAGGCAGAATAACTACGCAGGTAGTAGCTAGATTGTTGTCCTCTAATTATTTAGTGTCTGTCTAGTGAATGCTAACCATATATACTCTAAAATGTTGTTATATTATCTGCATTAGAAGCACACCTGGTGTGTTCTAATACTTATTTTTCCAACATATTTGGGGTATTATCTACAGTCATTATTTTAAAGTAATTACATGTTTGTGTTATGTTTTTTTTTTATGATTAATGGTCTGCTGAATAATTGATTCAAAAAAAGGTCGAAATGTGTAACCAAAAATAAAAATAAAAAACAGAGAAAGTTTAGCGTATTCTGGGATACTGTTGGGTGTCTGGGACGCTGGCTAAATCGTGAAGATGTGACAGCGCCATTAGTCAATCCCTCCATTTGCTATCCATAATTTATGTTATTTTGTTTGATTTATTAATGTTTATTTTTCTATTTTGTTTAAATTAAGACTTGTGTTATATTTCCTTTTGTGTCATTTTAATCTGTAATGGAGGAAGATAAAGTAATATCAGTTTCATTAGCTCAATGTTAGACTGATGTCATTGTGCTCTGTGTCATAATCAGACTGAATAATCTTTATTGGTCAATCTCTCGTTGCTATTAAGCCCAAATCATTAAGTCACTGAGCTTTAAAAAGAAATATTTATGTGAAACATATAGATCATATTCCTCTAACTTCCTTCACAGCGTTGGTTAAGGAACAACCAGTGACCTTTGTGGTACAATATGGCAGAAGGGTCCAAGTAGATCAATATCCGAGTGACTCGCTTTATGTCGTGTTGTGATGAATGGAAACATTATCCAAAGACATTTGACCTTGGAATAAGGGGAAAGTCTCTGAGGAGTCACATGATGGAAAGACAGAAACCACAATAAAACATGCTAATGGAAATGGTAGGCTGGGTTCATGCTAATGCTAAATTAGTAGTGTTGTGAAGACGATATGGTATAGATTCATACATTGGAGTGATTATATTTCAGACATATTTTATGGGAGATTTCTATTTCTGTTTGTGTGCTGTGTCACTTCCATCTAAATGTGTGTAGATGCACCTAAACAGAGTGATGTGACTACATCAGCAGCTCAGCAGGGGGGGCTCTACAGGCTGCTGGGAGCTGGGTTCTGCCAGCAGGGAGCTCTGTTCCTGGAGCGAGGTGGCAGCAGGAATCCGCTCCACACAGCTCCAATCCTCACTGTTTGATCCTGATTTCAAATACAGCTCACTCTGTAGCTCCTCTGCCAGCTCTACATGGGTCTTGAGAACTTTCCCAGCACATATCCAGAACATTTTTACAAACAGCTGCAGGTGTCAACATTCCCCTTTGGTATCCAAGAGTATAAATTGGTTAGAAATATTTTTATATTGCACAGAGCACGATCTTGTTATACAACAGAAAAAAACTCAAACACTTTGTGAAGGGACATATAAAAGCTAAATACCACTGCAGAGGTGTAAAAAGTACATAAATAACCAAATAAAATATGTCAAATTTCTGTCATGTGTTCCATCAGCTTCTGGATTTCCAGATGTTTTATAGAGACCAAGACAAAATTCAAGTATAATTGTAAAATTATTTTACCATTCAACTCTCTAGAGACATACAGTAACTCTTTATAACCCATTTTTCTCTGCAAATGGCTTTTCAGGGTTAACACACCTGTACATCAGAGATTTTGTCTATTCTGTTTTACGTAATAGCTACAGTTCAGTAAGATGGAGAGATGAAGTTAGTCTGTGGACATTAACAACTTCCCAAAAAGAAGATTGTAGTCTATAGTTTGAAAGAACATCCTTTCATCTAGTCGCGTCTGGTGGAGTTTCCTTCGGGGGGGGGGGGGGATATAACATCATTTCATGTCCAGATTAACTTTTTGTATATAAATCTTACCCTTCTGAGGCTTTGTGAAGGTATATCTGTGTTTTGTGTGGTCAAATATTGTGTCACAAAGAAAAATTATCTACCAGTTTAATAATAGCGAAGAGATTAGTCAACATTATACTTTTTTAACATAAAAAACTATTTATTTTCTGAGAATGTGTTTATTTAAGAGTTTATCTTTGGTTGAGAATGAACAAACATCTAGAAAAGGTAGACTATATTCTATCATTTTCCCTGTGAATCCCAGATTGTTCATTCTTCTTTGCCTTTTCTAAAAGGTTCTTTAAATCAGTCCTATCTGTCGGAGAGGTGTTTCAAGTCTGTCTGTCCAGACTTTGTTAAATCACTCGGCTCTCTTTTAAAAAGAATGTAGGGAAAAGTGTTTACGTTGGATCCAGCTCCTGCTCAAACTGTGGTTGTAGGATTTAGCTTTTTCCTCGGTTCGCTCGGCTTGTCGGGTCCCAGCTCCTTTTCATGGATTTTTTCCACCATCGTTCTCGTGAAACGGTAACTCGGTGAAGATCTTACTGAATTGTGTGAAAGCTGCTCTTAAAGTTCAACTCTCCTCGTTGCCATAATCTCTACCTCACTGCCTGACTGACTACTAGCTACATCACCTATATCACTGTAGGAGGGGCCAAAATTCCAGCAGCCCCAAAGCCATTCATCTTGGCGATGCTGATTGGCCCAATGTTTATTAATTTTCCCTAGCAACATTATACAATTGGTCCGCTCAAGAAGAGAAATGATACATTCTGTCGGTGGAAATGCTCTGTTGATTGAGAGTCAATTGGTAAAAGTGTTGTTTTAATGATGCATATTACATGTCGCTACATACCATTAAGTAAAACTGACCTTGATAGTACTTTTAAAATCTATATATATTATGACTCTGTATTTTGTTCCCAATTCTTCAAGTTTAAATGTGATTATAGGGGAGTTACTCAGGAGCTCTAGTTTTAGAAATACAGGTTTATAATAGGATTTTATTTTGTATTTTTTTCAGTACCTTACTAATTATTTTGTAATTTGAGATGGAAAGAATAGAATGCCTAAGAATTAAACGCTCAGGTTAAAAGATTTAGTAAAAATAGTTTTTGTTCAGTTATTGTTAAGTTCCACTTTTTGACAGTCATCCATTCTTTTGACTGAGAGGGGGGCTGATGGTGAGACAAAATCCCCAAAGGGAAACACAAGTCAAAGGTTGGGGAATTTATGGGATTTATGCAATGATCTAATAGGTTTGTGTTTTCTGATATCTTGTAATTATGTCTACTTTAATAATACAAAAGAAAAATGTCAGTTCTTAAGAGAGGGAATTTTAAAAAACAATGATTCGCTACTTTTATTAATCAAGGATATAAAAAGCCTTTCAAGTTATGGAAAGATGCTCATGATAGAAGAAAAGTTCTGTTTTTTAAGAAAGTGGCCCATTTTTATTGAACTTTAGTTGATTGCTAAGATCGGTCAGCATTAGATTAATTTATTAACCAATAACTTGCATCTCTATTCCCTAGATTAAAAAATATCTCACTAATCACGGCCCACATTTAAGCCATCATTTATAAGTGTTGTGCATATTTACCTAACCAAAATATTAATGATAATTTCTGGAATATAAGAAACAAACAGATTTAAAAAAAAAAAAAGAAAATGAAGGCATATTAACTTCTGAGAAGCATGTAGAGAAATAAGGACATCTGGTTAAATTGTAACCCTGATTTATTAATAAATATGCATATTAATCTTTTTAGAAACCATTTTTAAAGTATTTTCATAACTGATGAGTTTTTATCCCTGCGTTGTATGCAGGCGGTGCCAAAGCCCGTCGCCATGGAGCCGTGTTGGGGGAGCCGAGCAGGAGTTCTCACTGTCCTAATGCATCTCCCAAGACTCCCCTCTGGAATACCTCCACCTGGACAGTCTGGTATGATGCTCACCTGCATTCACCGACACACAGTGTGTCCTGCTGTTGGAGTAGGAGAAAATAATCCTTAATATTCCTCGTCTTCTGCTCCTCCAAGGGATCTCTACCGTTTCCCGTCAAAATAAGGTCCCTATAGAATCTAAGCAAATAGAGCTGGTGTCAAGAAATTCTTAATAAAACTGAAACACATGTTTTATCACCAAGCACAGAGATAACGTCTACAGTATAAACACCATTTACACATCAACACATTTTTTCTTCCTCTACACAATAAAAATCCAAAAATCCTGAGACTTCAGGATCACATTCAGCTCCACTGTAGACTGACGGGAAATATGGGAATTCTTTTTACTGGAAACTGAATTCTTTAACATAAAGAAACCCCCAAATGTCAAAATGTGAGCTTTTGTATTGTTATCTGGGATGTTCCAGTACCAAGAGCTACTTCTGTATTTCTGCAACACCGACTGACAAACTGAGTCATTTCATTCCCTGCTGAAGATTTGCAATCCCAACATCACCTACTTTACCGTCAGCCATATTTGTTTGTTTTTGAAACATAAATAACACAAACATTTATCATGTTGATTATGCAATTGGGTAACTTTTACATCAATATATGTCATTAACATCTTTCCTAATAAACCCTATTTCACTCACGCCGTTCCCAATCACAATGTTCTATTTCCCCTTTAAACCGGCTTTAAATGGCAAAATGAAAAGTCAGTTATATTTTAGTAAAAATGGAGCCACTGTCATAAAACGGGACAGATGGAGCCAGTATTCAAGTTGAGTCAGTCAGTAGGAAATTTTAAAGTGTTTATTGAAACATAAATTGACAGAACTGAAGCGGGCTGCTGATGACCGCAGGAGGGGGGCGGGGCACCGCCCAATCACTGACGCTCTGGTTTAGGGAGAAACACAGGTAGGTGACCACGATGATCTGAACAGAAGATGATTATTAGAGTGAGTCACTTACCTGGTGTAACAGTTCAGTCCATCCTCTCAATGATAGGCAGGATCAGCCGATGCCCCACCAACGAGAAGCGGCCCTGAGCCATCCAGAGCGTCCCTGATGCAGCAGCCCCAGCGAACAAGCAGGACTTTTGTAGTTCTGGAATCCAGGAGTCCACAGTCCGGTCAGGGGTTCCAATCCAGTCAGGAATGGACTGATCCGGGTTCCAGGAATCTATCAGAGCGTGAAGGCAGGTTAAGAGTCCCGTGCGCCCAGCATCCAGCTCAGACAGAAAAGCACCTGGGAGGCAGAATCCAGGAGGAGTCCAACTGTGGTTCAGGCGAACAGATCAGGCAGGAAATGACAGGGCCAGTGGGTGAGAGGGAACGGAATCAAGAAAACAGAATCACTCAGGAAACACTGAAACGCCCTCACCATTGGTGAAGGATCAAACTGGCCTGATGACATGGGCTGAAAAATAATCCACTGGAAAAAGGGACATGAACCTTGGAAATGACTAAAACTGACAGACAGGACATTAAGGCTACGTTCACACAGCAGCCTGAAGTGACCCAAACCCGACTTTTCTGCCCATATGCGACCTGGATCTGATCTCTTCATGACTGTCTGAACAGCACAGATCCAATTTTTTCCAGTCCGACCCAGGCCACTTGGCTATGAGGTCCTGAATCCGATATGAATCAGATCTTTTCAAATGTGATCTGTGTCTGAACAGAATGAATCCGACCTGAACGTCATTAATACCCGACATAGGTCACTATTCTGCGTCTTGCTACGCAGAGGTAGCAAGAAAAACAACAACAATGGCAGATGATGAAGCAGAGAGTAGTATTTATGTTTAACTATATTGAAAAGATTGAGTTTTTATGGTTGGAAAAGAGCGCTAGATGCGCTCCAGCACTACCATCCATGTTTACGTCCGTAAACACAGAACACGCTGGCCTGTGACGTCATTGCGTCCTCGACTGCGCATACGGGACATTTGCGTTGTATGACTGCAGTTCACACAGGAGATCACATACAAGCCGCATATATTTGGAAATATGAACGGCAAAGCAAAAAAATCGGATTTCTCAAAAAAATTGGAATTGAGGATCAAGGCCTGCAGTGTAAACGTAGCCTAAGCGAAGTGAAATGGGGAACAAACCCTCAAACAGTGACCTCGCCCTGATAGCTGGAACTGAGCCCAATATAAGGGAAACCAGCAGGTGGATGAGGTGAGTGATAATTGAGAGCTGGAGAGAGTTAAGCAGGTGAAAGGCAGGAGTAATTAAGGTGAGCTTTCAGGTCAGATCATCACACAAGGCTGTTTCCAGTTTTTAAAAGTCATGATTCTATTTCAACATGTCTGCTGACAAAATAACCTTTAATAAGGATGGTAGTAAGATAATGGTAGTAAACCTTTCCCCAATACAGTTTTCTGACAACAAAGTTAAATGAATTACCTATTAAAGGGATGCATTACCATCTGGACTCTCCATGCCTGCAGCCAGCTTGTGTAAAGTAACCCCAGAAACATGGTTAATATATCAGCCCTAAGTTTATATCGGGCTGTTTAAAGTGAAGGTAGGAGCATATTTCATGTATGAGAGGTCCCCACACTGACAGCGCACATACAACACTCACCACCTTCTCACCTTTAGGGTAAATATTATCCTTTCTTTGTTTTATTTAGAACCAAAGTTTTACATTAACTTTTTACTTACAGCTCTTGCTGCTGCCTTCTAAACAGAGACAAATTATCAACACCATTTCCCCATATAAGCATTTTTTCTTTAGCTCAGAACTCTCTAAAATAATTCCAACCCCATACCTAGATACAATAGGAGTTATTCAAGAAGTGTTTGTTCAGGCTTTGTTTTTAATATATTTGGTGACATTTAATAGATAGATTTAAAGCGTAAAGGTCAGACGAGACAGTTAAATCATTAAGAACTATATCAAAATTGTAATAAGCTTCTGCCAGAGGCAAGTTTTCTAATAAAACCTTCCTGAGATGAAAATATTGATGTTTGTTGTTGCTTTTAGATCTAAACTGACCAGCCACTTCCAATTTCATGTTTATTTATTGCAGGCAGTGTTGTAATCACAATATGCTGCTGAGTTTTCTTACTATTGCTTAGCCCAACGTTGAACAAATTTACTCCGTAGTTTTTTTATTGGGATTTTTAGTAGATTTTTTTTTTCTTCCTACAGTTTTATGTTTATATTTCTGAGACTCAGATTAACCCTTACGTGACCCTATCTAAAGCCCCTGTCACACCTTGCTGATTTACCCAGTGTATGCCTGACGTCCCAGAATGTCCTAAAACGCTGCCATATGCTGAACTTTCTATGTATCTTTTCTATTTTGGGCGTATAAAAAGATTCATAACGAGTCCAGAACTTCTGTCCAACAACAGCATAACTGCAGCATAACACAGAGCAGCGTAATGCACATGAAATGATGCACAAGCCAATGTCCTGAGGGAGTCAGGAATGCGCCTGGAGGCACAATATCTGCAGAAAAAGATTTATTTGATCACTGTATTAACCCAGCTGAATGGTTTATACCAAAATGCTGCCAATACGCCATTATACACTGCAAAAACAATCTAGAAATAAGTAAAAATTTCTCAAATTAAGTGTATTTACCCTTAATTTGAGTAGGTAAATGAGATAGTTTGCCAATGGAATGAGTCATTTTACTCTTAAAATAAGATAATTAGATAAAATGCACTTGGAATAAGACAATGCAATTGTGTTTTCTTATTTGAAGTGTAAATTGTTTTGTTCCATTGGCAAAATGTCTCTTTCACCTCCTCAATTCAAGAACAAATGCACTTATTTTAAGAAAAAATGACTTATCTAGATTCAGATTTAGTAGCTGGCAGTTAGAAACTCGTTCAGCGCTCGTCTGGAACACGTCAGATATGTTGATATGCGTTGGAGAGAAGTTCTGGATAAGTTACGCAGAAGTTACTCAGAGGTTTAGGATCAGCTAGACGCCACGACTGATGAGGAACTGACACTGAACGGATGTCGACCATCAGATAACTGACCTGGAACTGATGGCGCACATATAGCATACGTCGACGTACTTGCTGTATGTTGAAATGTTCCAGCGTGTTTCAGCATCTTTCAGTATGCTCATAACTTATACAAAACCTACCCATAACTTATCCAACCTGTGCCAGCATTTTTGCCAGGTTTTTCATACATCAGGCATATGATGGTCTGAATCGTTAAGATGTGACAAGATTTACAAGCTTTGGTATTTTTCAACTGTTAGCAAATGATAACTAGTTTATTATGAACTGTAGAGTAGCCTGTGCGCATTAGTTTCCTCCTTATTTTGTTATGTTGAATCTCTAAATTAATGAATGTCCCTAAAAATAGAGTTTGTTTGTTTGTTTTAGCAGATTATAGATCATATGTGTAACTGTGTTGTTTGTTGTAGCATTTCTTGCTTGTTGGCTCCTTCTGATCTCCCTGCATACTGTAGGTGTCCCTTCAGAGGAACTAAAAAGTGCTGCCTCTGTCATATTCTGTGCTTATCATTTCCCCGGCTGCAGTATAAGCTGCTATTAGCAGGCAGTGCTCCTGTCTGCCAAACTCTTTATGATTAGTCACAACACGTAGCAGCTCTCATCGTGGTTATGTCTTTGTTTTGCTTTGATTTTTTTTTACTGTTCTTGTAAACCGTCAGCTGCCTCTGAGCCATATCTACTTCTTTTAACTTCACAGAAAGAGTTTTCACAATTTGTGACACTTGTAAAAGCCGAACTGTTCACAACAGCACAACAAAGTGTGTAAAAGCATCTCTGCCTTTTGGATTTCATGGGGAAAAGCCTCCAGCAATTTAAACAGAAGCAGTGAAAACAGCAAGCTGTGAGGCATTGTTCAAAGCGGCTTTGTGTTTCCTGACTAATCATTGAATCGCTTGTTAATCAACCAAATGCTACATGATTTTGCACATAGTTAAAAAGGTTTTTACATCACGAGCTGATGCCTTTACAGCTGCCTGATGCATTATTGAGAAGAA